CTCAACTTTATATTTAATACCTGTCACACTGCTTCCTACCTTCTCAGCCAGTAGGTTTCTTCTGTCCTCTCTGCTGGCATTCATTTTCTACCTGCTGCACAGAATCTCTCTTCCCCTGGCTCCATATAGCTGAAGAGAACCCATCCAACCCAAATCCCAAGTTCACTATGAGTCTCTCAGAAAAAAATGGCCATATAGATTATCTGTTTTTCTCAACTCCTAAATACTCATTTATATGTTGCCTAGTTATTATGTTTTTTAACTTTGCAAATGTGGAAGACTCATGTTTCTAGAGTATAAATTCCTGGTACACAGAAGACCATGTTTTAATCTTATTTTCTAGTCACTATTTAACATATAACAAACAGTAACACAGTATAAATTTGTTACATTATACAAACTCAATAAATATTTCTCAGCTGACTAAACACTGCCTGGAGAATAAAGCAGTTGATGTAAGAAATCTGTATATAAAATCATGATTTAGGGGGCTAGAATAAGAATGTGCAGGCTGGGTTGAGATGATCTTGGAGAATTGTCTAGAGTTAGGCATCTTCTCTTACCAAGTTGGCTTACCTCTATGTAGATAAACACATGACATGCTGTGATGACTCAGTGCAAGAACTTTTTCCATATATTACCCAACATAATCTCACAAATAGTAGGCTTTCTTTGAAAACTTATCAGGGCTGTTATACAAGAAACAGTAACAGCCGGTTTCACATTCCTAATTCCATAGCCAAAGTAACAACAGGAACCATTAGAGCAACAATATGTTATTCCTCTGTTTACTGAAGAACAGAGAATATTTATTGGGTACTCTTACTTTCTGCAGTAAGCAGAAAGGATGTGGTTTTGCTAATGTTATGGGATTCTTGAAAGCAGACTGCCAAATTGGATGGCTCTCAAGAAGGCTTACTGAAGTATGTTTTATATCTATATACAAATATACATATGCATAAAACTCCACAAGCAGTGGAACCATAATTAACACAAGTTTCCACTTCTAGTTTGAGGTTTTTAGTCAACTGGCAATAAATGAACAGAAAATAAAAGGCTTTACAGCTGTGCCAAATTGTTCTGTAAAGAATCCAATTTATTTGTAAATAGGGTACCCATTTACAGTGTACATGGTTTTATTTCTTTATTACACAATTTTCTTGATGACCATGCCATACACTCTCAACTGAACTTTTGTAATTTATATTATTCCCACTTTCCAAGCAAGACATGTATATGAAAATAAGGGAAGTTTTAAGATGCTTCTAAAATACAGTATACACAGCTAAAGAAACATCACATTATCAGGGTCAGTATGTTTGGCTCTGCTTTTTCCTGCTTCTAGAAAACATTTGAAGCAAATGAGAAAGACCAAAAAGATAGACAAAAACAGATCTTTCTTAACCTTCAAAACATAAAATCATACTCTTCTTCCTTTAAAATTTTCTGTTTCTTTTGATAAAATTATCCCTCTGCAGTGTTAACATGCATCATTGGTCTCACATTGTTGGTGTTGATGAGCCTATGAGCTCACGCCTACTGAATAAACTTAGATAAAATAATATAAAAAGTAATCGCTAAAAAAAAAAGTAATCACTACCCACTAGACATTCAACCACTGGTATTTATTATAATGTGTAGCTTTCATATCTTTTGATCCACTTGTAACATTTCAATTTTAAGACTAAAAGAGGCAGTGAGAAGAAGTTCTAATGATCATTATTATAATCTTATTGGCCTTCAGTTGACTTTCTTATCTCTTTTTTTCTTGACACAACTTCAAGTGAGACAAAAATCTCTAAATCAAAAAGCATTTTGAGGCAGTGGTGCAAATTACACGTTCTCCTGCATATGCAGATTATAGACCCAAAACAACTGCAGTGATATTATTAGACATGGGTCACAGACTAAGGGGAGAATGTGCACTGGAGAAACAGGGAAAGGGAAGGAAGCCTAAAACTTGAATGTGGTTGATGTGCTCACTGTTGAGGAATGAATAAAATAATCTTAAATTGGCAGGGGCCACTATGGGAAGGGGACATGGAAGTAGTGAAGAGGTTGGGTAGAAATGAGCCAGTGTGGGTTGTAATACACCATAGTGCATGGAAGCAATGCTACTAACCTCTCTGTATAGCTATCTTTATCCCAAACTAACAAAAATGATATGTCTGTCTTATTATCTCTTATGTTTTCTCTTCAACAAAATCAGAGAAGGCAGAACAGGTTCTGCCTGGAAGGGGAAGGTTGCGGAGGTGGTGGGGGTGTCGGGGGGAGGTGGGTAGACAGCACAAGCAATGTATATACATGTAAGTAAATTGAAAACAATAAAATAAAAGGAGAGAAAAAAGAAAAGCATTTGAAAGCAATCTAGTTTTTCACCTATCATGCTATGCATATTTTCAACATTAAGTTCAATGAAGACTCTTGCTGAAGTATTTCCTAATTTCCCAAGATACAATCTGTTGCTCAATTTTTGAGGCTTTCACTACACTCTTCAACTCTTATATAGCACTTCATATGTTTTATGATGACTTCTTTTGCCCTTCTTATTATATAATAACCTCATCCACGGGAGGAATAATAGTCTAGTAATCTCTATAATCTCATCTTTAGTACTTAGCATAACATGTAGAAAAACTTAATATAGGTTGGATGAATGAGTTATTGAATGAATGATTAAATGTTTATGTACATATCAAGTTCCTAACTATGCAGCAGGTGAAGGCCTAGAGGAGACAGTAGAAATCTCAACTCCATTCCCTACACTGTCTCTCTCAACTTCCCTTCATGCTACTATTTCTACTTTTCATCTTGGTTTACTGCAGGCTATTAATTTCTTTTCTTTTTTTTGGCAGTACTGAGGTTTGAACTCTGGGCCTCATGGTTGTTAGGCAGGCATTCTACCACTTGAGCCACTCCATCAGCCCTAATTACTTCTATCTAGATGTCAAGCAGGTACCTCAAACTAAGCATCTCCAGAGTCAAAATTCTTGTTTTCCTCATCCAAAGCTGTAAGCCTCCTGAGTTCCCTATTTATGTGTCATGACATCATTAGTCCAGGTCAGAGTCTCAGTTTTACCTCTACCTTTCTTCCATCCTCTGAAAAGTAATGATAAATGTGACTATGTGACTAATGAGTTATACCGAGAAAGTTAGGTCATATAGAACATTGTATTAAAAGTGAAGAACTACAAGCCTTAACCTGAAAAATGCAGAGATTACTTATGCACGAGAATGACAGATCAGATCTATACTTTGCAAAGATTATTCATAGCAGCTTGGCTGCATATTTGAAGAAATGCCAAGTTGGAGGTGAGCTGAATAAGTGGAGGTCTATTACACTAATCCTGGTAGAGGCCTACACTACAACATTGGCAGTGAAATGGTTTTAAAGGGCAAAGAGGGGAATTTTGAGTCAAAGGAGAAATGGGGGATAAAGGTGATAATGGCTGGCATAAGGTTGTCTGAGAGTCAGGAGAGGGTCTGATGAAAACATATGTGGAACATGAACAGGCAGAGGTATATTTGATGAAGACAGAAGGAAGTAAGAACAACCACTACACATTGGGATAAGTTTGTAGGTGACAGTAGGGTTTCCAGACAAAATACAGGATGTCCATGTAAATTTGAATTTCAGATAAACAATGAAAGACTTTTAAATATTTTCCAAATATTGTACATATGTTCTCTCATGAATTTCCTTTCCCTGACTTCCATATATCCTACGTGCCTGCTTCACAAGTCACTCATCATGTCAGCTCAAGTGCTACCTTTTCTGCAAAGCCTGTGCTGTCACAGTATTATATATTATGCATTATTCACTATGATTATTATAAAGGTTTCCAATTTCTAAGCATATTTAGATCACATATTTCTTGAAAATAGTGATCAGGACTTTTCATCTTTACAGCTCTCGGGTCTAGCACAGCAGCTTGACAGCCACGTAAGAGGCAGCCAATGAACATTTGCTGCATGAATGAATGTAGTATTTCATATCTTTATTATTTCTTGCTTAGATTCTTCTAGTTCATCTCCCTGCCTTCAATTTCTCCCCTCTTTAAACTATGCTCCATATTGACATAGGAGATATCTTTTCAAATCTATTTAGCACAGTGCTGAACGTTCTCCACAATTTAACACCAAAGTTAAGTGGTTAAGAGTTCAGATTTTGCAATCTTGTCTATGCTAGAATGCTGTCTACACCACCTGAGAGCTATCTGAATTTGAGTGACTAACTTAACCATTTGTAAAATGGGGGTAATATCCACCTCATACTGCTGTTATGAAAATTAAATGAGATCATTTTACTACAGTACTATACTTGACAGTATATAGCTAACAAATAGAGTTACTGTTAATATCCTTTCCAGCTTCTCCAGTCCTTTCCTCATTCTGCTCACACTGATACCTTCCACAGCGGCCACATTTCATAACTTTCCAATTTTCCAAACTTCAGATTTCATCACTCCATATCTTTATTGACAGTGCTTATTTGTTTACACTGCCCGGCCTGAATGGCAGCCTGGTGGGATAGAGCTTGGTATTTAAAATTTTGTGATGTGTAATTCCTAGTATATATACACAGTAGCAGTAAACGAAGTTAAAAATCCTCAGATTTCTTCAGGTATTTTGTGCTATGTTAAGGCTTGACATACCACGGGCATTCTTTTAATCAGTGGATAATTTAGCAGCCCTAAAGAGTTTTAGTGGTCAGAAAATTCCCATCCATTTATTGTTCATTATGACTTTTAAGAACTGTTTTTGTTTGAACCTCTTTAAATAAGTCCCTTTTTGAAAAATTTATGTCATTTGCAAATATTGTCAATCTAACAATCTGTGTCTATTACAAACCAGGAAAATAATTTTCAATTACCTGAATTCCAAACTTAAAAACATTTATTCCAAAAATATCCTGATAGTCATAAAATCCCGCCCCCCCTGACACACACATTGAGAACTGAGATTAGAAAACTCTAGATATCCACATTCAGTGTTTTTACCTTTGGTCCTTCGGGGCCATTTTGCCCAGGAATCCCAATATCTCCTGGAAAACCCTAGGGAATAATAGAAATGTAAAGAGTTTATTCCATAGCAAATTACTTTAAATTTATTAAGCATACAAAAATTCCCTTTGCCTTTCTTTTATGTCCAATTTATGCTCTTCACAAAATCAATATTACAGATTGTTAGGCAGTTTTTTAACATTGGAATGAAAAACCTACAAAGTATACTAAAACAGAATTTACTTCATCAGTTATCCACAAACAATCCTTAGACCTGAAGAAAACCTTCTAATCCAGTCTAAGAGAATGGAAGTCTCACTCGATGTGAGAAAATGAGTGGACATGTCCTTTCAATGTCAAAGAGGACACAGGACCATCAAGGATTAAAGGAATATACTTTGTTAGGTTTACTGTTTTCTAACTACATGTTAACTTGGAGAGTGTTTTCAGGTGGAGATGAAAATCACTTCTGTTTGGTTTTAAAAACAAAGGCTATGGTTTAATATATAGAACACTAATCAGTTTTTTAATCTAATCTATCTGAATATCCCATATTTGATTAGTTAGCACCTCAATTGCTTTTTGAACTCAATATGTGCTGATTCCATGACTATTTAATGAACTTAACAAAATCTTTGACCTGAGTTTATATTTGTATGAGAGTCATACTTTTTGGAAATTATGCTAGTAGTCTAAAACAGCTGGTTCCAGAAATAGAAATGGATCATAGTTTTAAATAAAACCTATACTGGGAAAAGGCCTATGATGTTGCTCTAAAATGGGTAGATAAAAATTCTTGCCTAAATAATGAATCAGAATGTGATTTATCATGATCCACTTCAATAATGATAACAATTCCATAGAAATAATAAATTAATAATTGGGATTTCATTTGCATTGATTTTTGTCACAGATGAAGATGTTTTCAGATTTTCCAATGACATGGACAAAAACAAGTAACAAATATACAAGAACCAACATTTATAAATACAAAGAAGGCTATAGACAAAGTATGGCTGTCAATAAGAGAAAGTAGTTCAGTGTAGGGATAGGTGATGGGAATAAAAATCACAAGTAACACAGAAGAGCAAAGTTGATTCTGAGATACTCATTCTGTAAAGAAAAGCAAATCAGAAAGTGATAATGATTCATCCAATATGGGTTAGAATAGATGTGTTTTTTTAAATTCATTTATTCACATGTGCATGCATTGTTTGGGCCATTTCTCTCCACTGCCCCCTGCAACCTGTTCTGCCCTTATCTCTAATTTTGTTGAAGAGAAAACATAAGCAATAATAAGAAAGACAAAGCATTTTTGCTTATCTCAAAGCATTCTGAGATAAGGAAAGCTATACAGAGAGATTCCTAGCATTGCTTCTAGGTACAAATGTGTTACAACCCAAGTTGATTCCTCTCTAACTGATCTTTTCACTAGTTCCTGATCCCCTTCTCATATTGACCTCTGTTGCTTTAAGGTTTCTGTATTAGCTCCTCTGCAGTGGGGACATCAAACACTTTCATGTTTTGGGTTTCTTACATATCCACATGCCTCCCATATGGTATGTGCTCTCCATTTATCAAGTGGCCCAAGTCCAACCACATTGCTGCATTTGCCCTAGATCTAAAGTCTGCATATGAGGGAGAACATATGATTTTTGGTCTTCTGAGCCTGGCTAACCTCGCTCAGAATGATGTTCTCCAGTTCTACGAATGATAACATTTCACTCTTCTTCATGTCTGAGTAAAATTCCATTGTATATAAATACCACATTTTCTTAATCCATTCCTCAGTAGGGGGGCATCTTGGCTGTTTCCATAACTTGGCTATTGTGAAGAGCACTGCAGTAAACATGGGTGTGCAGGTGCCTCTGTAGTAACCTGGGTTGCATTCCTTTGGGTATATCCCCAGGAGTGGGATTGCTGGTGCACATGGCAGATCTATGTTTAGATTTTTAAAAAGCCTCCAAATTTTTTTCCAGAGTGGTTGCACCAGCTTGCATTCCCACCAGCAGTGTATGTGGGTTCTTTTTTCCCCACATCCTTGCCAATACCTATTGTTAGTGGTGTTTTTGATGATGGCTATAGAATAGATTTGGTTTGGTAGAATAAGTGCCAGACTTAAAAGTTTGATTCTATGGAGAAAAGTATAAGTTGGGGACATCTCAAACAAAAGAAAAGGCAATGGTACCAGAAGGATTGACCATAAATCAGATTTCTGGATGTTCTAGATTAAATACAGATATATTTTATACAGACTTGATTGCTTTGCTAATCAAAAGGAATCAGGCTCACCTCTGTTAATATTTATAGATATGCACATTTAAAAATTAGGTTCTTCTCATAATTTCATAGCCTTTCTTATGAATACATCTTTTGTTACTATATTTAGTTGAGGAAATCACTGTGTATCTGAAGCAAGACACCTCTTTCTAGTGCCTGCTGTAATACTAAGTATCTGTCCAAAATTAAACACAGCATGTTCCCCATAACGTCCTTTATCTGCCAATTCCTAATCCAAAATGTTGCACTTCATCTTTAAATACTTCTTTTTCCTCTCTTTTCTCTTTCTTCTAAAAACTCTCTCACCATCCTGGGCTCCAGCCACTTAGTGTCATGTTTTGACTTATTTTAATTCCACATCAGGTTGAACCCTTCATGTGTTATTCACTACCATGTTCCCAGAACTAGCTCAACATCTGGCCCACAATAATTAGTTTAATAAAATGACTTTTTGTTGTTGTCATGACTTGTTTCTTTTGAAAAAGAGGACAATGTGTCCTGTGGCTACTTTTGATCCCTTGTTTACAGCCAGTTCAGAACATTGGTTCACAGCATCTTTACGGATAAATTCATAACCTGCCCATCTTCCAGACAAGCCTAGAACACCTTGCCATATCAGAAAGCAAGAGTGCTAGTACAGGTATGGAAAAAAGAATTAAGTTAAAAGAACTTAGAAGGTGCTTGGAGAGGATCCCACAGGTTAGATTTGGGACAACGTGAACTTTTTTCAATAAGAAAAACAATGACAATTGGTGGAACCACACCAAATATATTTAAATTCATAAGTTCAAGTGCAGCAACATCAAAAAAAAAAATCCATGCCTAAAGCAGGAACGAGCCAGCTTATTAGCTGGAAAAGTTGTAAACAAAGGTGAACGATCAAGCATTTATTTTGTCTTTCCTATATGTACTCTACCTCTGTTATCCAAATAGTAGATGAGATGTATTCTAGCCAAAAAAGAAAAAAAGCGAAAGAAATCATAAAGTAAGAAAATTCTTATTTTGCAGCCCCCCAATAATCTAATGGATTTAGCATTGAGTTTAAACTGTTACTAACATCACACATAAAAAAGAGATTACTAGATGAAGGACCAAAGTATCACCTATAATCTTGCCAACACAGATAGACAGAGAGACCAACAAACAAACATGAATGCAGTCAGGACTCTATAATGTGACGACTAATTTTCAAGAATAAAATAAGACCCAGGAACATTCAGAACTGCACCATGAAACTATAATCGGCAAAATCCAAATGGTGGAAAACTGCGGATAAATGACTGGGGAGTTTTAACAACTAAATTGTAAGGGAGAAAGGGAATAAGGAGAGAACATGCAGACTGAAAGATATAGAAAATAAAAAATGCCTAAACTATTGTTTTGAAGAATGCATGTTTAGTGTATAAATTATAAAAGGAAAACAATGAGGAACTGCTTTCTCTGGGTAGGAGAGATGGGCTTGTGGTTGGTGTGGTACCCATAAAGATATTTGGGGTAACTCTCATGGTAGTTACAAGGGTGTCTGTCTTATCATTATGTGAGATATACATTTGTTTTATGTAGTGTTCTGTATTTGTGTCTTATTTTACAATAAAGCAGTAAGAAAAACTTAACTGAGGTTATTCTTGTTAAATATGGAGTATTTGATATTTGTGAATCTCTGCTACTTCTTTAATGAGTTAAAATATTAGTAAAGAAATATTTTAAAAAGTCACAAAGTGCCAAAGACAGAGAGCACAGAACAGAAGATGTCAACAAATCTGATATGATATTATAGTCAGGTTATTAAATATTTTTAAATCAAAGCAACATTGCAAAGCTCAGAAATACATCAGCACAGTTATTAAAAGGGAAAAAGTCTCTATTTCCTTTCCATATAGGATAGCTTAGAAACTTGGCCAGAGAATTTTTTCATTACTTTAAAATTCATACCTGGGTTACTTCCAAGTAGAGATCCTGCCTTTTAAGTAATACATTTTAAAATATAAAAACCAGAGTTGACTGGATAAACTGAATTTTAATGATAGCATACATCTATAAGGGAATTTTTGAATGCTCAGATTTACTGCTCAAATTTTAAATCAAAGTACAAGATATGGGCATCTTTGTCGAGCAGCAAAGCTTCAGAGTTTATAGATTGAGAAATAAAAAAAGTATATCATTAGAATCTATACTTTGTACTTTTAAAAAATCAGGATGGCACAAAAATATACAAGAAAAAAAGTAAAAATTAAAAATCTGATAAAGATGCTCCAATTCTTTTTTTTAATTCAAAATAACATTGACGTTGCAAGTCGATCATCTACTCCCACAATGAGCTTCAGTATTTCAGTTAAGTATGCCCATCACAAGTGAAAATATAGTACCTTAGTGAGGAAAAGGAAGAGCAGCCTGACTTCTGGTGCCTTCTTAATAGAAATAGTCTGTTCATCAGTTTTTACTGAGAAGCAGAAAATTAAAGTAGTTTCAAAAATAAGTGCAAAAGTGTCTTCTGTTTCAGAACCTTCACATCTGTTTGCTGCACTATGGAGTGATTCAGTGTTCTCTCCAGTAAAAACAAAGTTTTATTATTCTCTAATTATTAAAGGCTGGAGAGTAATTCACATGCATATTTTACAGCTAAACATGGGAACCAAAGCACTAGCAGATTTCATTAGTTTCCTAGGAAATCATAAAAGCAAAATATTGCTTTTCTTTTTTGACAGGAGCCAAAGCTCAAAAGCTAGTGTCTTAACGTAAATACATGATGCTCTGTGGCATACATCGAACAC